GTCACCCAGACTGGAGTGCAGTGGCCGCTCCCGGCCACCGCAGCCTTGACCTGCTGGGCTCTGGCAATACTTCTGCCTCAGCCTTCCCAGTAGCTGGAACTACAGGCGTGTGCAACCACGCCCAGCTAATTTTTTGATTTATTGTAGAGATGAGGTCTCGCCTGCCCAGGCGGGTCTCGAACCCACGGGCTCAGGCAATCCACTCACCTCAACCTCCCAAAGGCGCGGGATTACAGGCTGAGCCACCGAGCCCGGCTGTTAACCGTTTTAATGTGCAAACCTTGTTAACTGTTTTAACGTGCAAGCCTTATTTAGATCCTGATACAAACTATAAAAAAATATGAACTGGGGAAAGCAATGTAAACATTCATTGCTCTTCTAATGATATTAAGAAATTATTAACAATTTTATTTGTGATGACAGAATTATGGTTCTATTTTTTTTAAGAGTCCTTACCTTTTTAAATTAACCTTTTTGTTTTGAGATAATTATAGATTCACATTTAGTTGTAAGAAAGGATACAGAAAGATGCCTCATGTCCTTACTCAGTTTCCCCAGTGGTAACATCCTGCAAAACTGCAGTCCCATGACACAGCAAGCACCAATGCTGACTCAGTGAAGACCCGGATGTCTCCACTGCCACAAGCTTTCCTCCAGTCACGTCTATTTCCCTCTCACCCACAGCTACTCGCAAGTATCTGGTAACCATAAATCTGTTCTTCAGCCTATAATTTTGTCATTTAAAATGCTATAGAATTGAATCATACACTATGAAACGTTCTGGGATTGTCTTGTGTACTCTGCACAATTCCCTGGAGATTCTCCCAGGTTGTTGAGGGAATCAAACATTGACTCCTTTTCACTGCTGAGTAGTATTCCGTGATAAGAGTGTGCCACTGTCTGTTTAACCAGTTACCACTGAAGGACATCTGGGTAGTTTCCAATTGGGGCCATTATGAATAAAAGTGCTATAAACATTCATGTAGAATCCTTACCTTTTAAAGAGACTTATTTAAATATTTTGGGATGTCTAGGATTTGCTTCAATGATGTCTAGAATTTGCTTCAAAAAGTTCCTGACTACACGAGAAATAAGATCATCATGAGTTGGTAAGTGCATTATACTATGATTTGTTAAAAATGTCCTGTAATACAAAGTTTAAAAAAGAAGTCATTAAGAAAAAATTATGTATCTAACCTCCACACACCCGCACACATAAACTTACCCATCTTCAAATCAAATTGAAGGTATGCTTTTTTATCTTGTGGCTTTAGACCATGCCAAGATTATTAGAATTCTCTAAACCATACAGCCCACACCTTTCAGGAATAGCCACTGTAACACTCACTCTACCAGTGGAGGCAGATCCAGTCAAGGCATCTGCTAACTTTCTTTCTTAAGTTTTTTATTAGGTGACAAGAGTGAAACAAGAGCAGGAAAGTAATCACCATAATCAAATGTATGAGATTCACGAGCGGCTTGCCTTCAGAAGAGGGGGCCACGTCTGACGTGGTCAGGTCCTTATCATCGAGACAGGCGTGAGAGAACAGAGTGTGATTACCACAGATGAAGAGCAGCACGCTGAGCACAGCCAGGCAAGAGAACGAGGAGAGATGCATTTCCTAGGATGCACAGGCTGCTCCTGTTTTAAGCCACTCTGGAGGACAGCTTGTTATTACCATGTGCCGTCTGCAAGCTAATGAGTCCTTAGTGTAATTCTGCAAAACACTGTCTACCACTCAGTGCTGCCGACACTCCACCTGCTCACTCATCCCTGGGCCTATATCACGTTCTCCTTCCTTCCCACCAAGGACACCTTGTTTTTCTCCACATGGGGTATCTCAAGCAAAGAAGAGGACATAAATACTAACCCATCAGCCAATCTGGGATTAAAAAGCCATGTCCTCCAAAGGAAATATTCATGATGACATTCAAATGCCAAGGAGTGTAATGGCTACAAATGAGTGTCCCTTGCTTGGTCTTTAATGCCTAGACATGCACAGTGACAAGCAATTCTAAAGCTTGAAGACTGTTGTTAGAAGTGGGACACTTGTCCAGAGATCAAATCCCAATAAGACGAATTCCAGAGGACTACTCAGATTTCATAGTTGTGTTGCAGTTTGGTTTTAACAAATCTCCCTCCAATTACATGAGTTCAGTTAGAAATGCTTATTGTGATAGGATTTGATCTGCACTCTGTGCAGCAACAGATAGGAAAATATGGTACACTGAAGGCTATCCATGTGACAATCAATGACTATAAAATGAAAGACGTTAATCAGCTCTACGAAACACAATCAATGTACAGATAGGTTCATTTGGTCAACAACTTAAGAGTTCTATCATTGGAAAGAACTGCTAGCAACATCGTATTAGGAAACTAAGAAAATATGGTTGAATTCAAAATCTTGTTCCTATGTTATGTGGAATTAAAACACAAAACATCCTAAAACCCTGAGAACTGTGCATGGCACGCTTGCATTGAGGAGATTAATGACAGGGCTGCTCATGACAGGAGAGGAACAGGTTGGGAACTGGCTCAGGAGCAGGAAGATGTCATTGGGATGGAGTTGACAGAAAGGTGGAACATTAAACACACACATATGTATTCAGATGCTCTCTCCCTGTCTTCTGCTGCCTTCTTGACTCTTAAAACCAAACATTTCCTGGGTCCTGGATTCTGACTCTACAGCACACGTTTTGGGGCAGTTTGTGGTCATTGACAAGACATGAGAAGTCGAAACTCTTAGCACGCACCTTGACACACTTAAAAGTTAATCTAAAATGTTTGCATAAAACAAAATGTTCTTGCCAAGAATCTTTCGGGCTGATTAGCTCATATATCATATTACTCTTCTTTGCAGCAACCACCAGCACCTGGTCTACAGAACTTGGATTTCAGTGGCTGCATTTTTGTGAGGTCAGGGGTTTCAGAGAAAGGATCACATGAGATAGCAGGTAGGAAATATGCAGACAGAACAAAGAGGGAAGGCATTAAGCCCGGAAAGAATTCCAAGAACAAACTGCACAGGAAGGGTAGAGGAGATGAGCAGCCATGGTAGGTGAGACCTGAGTAGAGAGGAAGAGGAAGGGAGACATAAAGGGCGGCTGGAGCCTGGAAGGGCAGCCACTGCTGCCAGGCAAGACACATGGACTGTGTTCCACGGACCCTTGGAGAGCCCCTGCAGGCCTAGGTAAGATGTGACAATGGGTAAGGAATGGGAGGAAAGGGGCAGGAGACCAGAGGAGAGGCTTCACTAGTTGCTCCAGGTGAGACTGTAGGGCTAGATCTAGGAGGGTGGTAGTGGGAAGAGAAAGGAAAGGATTGATCTGAGGGGCAGTGTGAGAAATCCATAAGCTTAAAGCTAGTTTTGTCTTCAATTAAAACTCAGAAAATGGTCACTTGCAGTCACTGCCAAAGAATGACTTGCAAGATGCTAAGGATGTTTGTGCTGATTGGGAGGTAAACTGTTATCATGATCAGACGCATAAGAGGGCATTAAATGTTAATGGCTAATAAAGTCATTTTTAAAGGAAGTTTTCATTAAGCTGAACAGAGACTTGGGAAAAATAAGGTTTTGGATATAAGTAAAAATTATTTTTAAGAAGTTCATGATTGGTTGCAAGGTGATGAGTATTTTTAAATTCCTAAAATAATTAGCTGCTGATAGCAAGGCAGTAATAATGACATATGATTGACAGATCTATTTTTTCTACTTTTGCAAATCTACTTTTTATATCTACTTTTGCAGTTCTACTTTCTCTACTTTTGTAAATCACTAATACAAATCCACTATTAAACAAAAGTTCTCTCTTTTTTTGCAAATGCATCTATGAGTAAAACTGTGAAACATTATAGATGACACAAGAAAAATCACCTATTTCTTAGTATATGTGACAACTTAATTTCTATTTTCATTTACTTGCTATTTTTATTGAGTACCTCCTATATGACAAGGACTATGCTGGTGCCGGGCATACAATGAAGAGAAACACAGACACGGGCACCCACACAGGTGGCCACAGCACAGACGCCCCCAGACTGAGGATGGTTCAATTTAATAATGTTTCAACTTTACGGTGGTATGAAAGCCATATACATTTAGCAGAAACCTTGCTTTAAGCAACCATGCAGCCATTCAGGTCTTCACTTTTAGTACAGTATTTACTAAATCATACGAGATATTCAACATTTTATTAGAAAGTAGGTTTTGTGTGAGATGGTTTTGCCCAGCTGTAGGCTAGTGTAAGGGTTCTGAGCACCTCTAATATAGGCTGGGCTGAGCTATGATGTTCAGTAGTTTGGGTGTATTAAATGCATTTTGGGTGTATTAAATGCTCAACTTACGATGGGTTTATTGGGACACGACCCCATTGTAAGTCAAGGAGTATCTATAGTGTAAAAGACAGGCATTAATTTTAAAAAATCATCCTAATATATAATTTTAAATTGTGATAAGTACTATGAAGGAAAATTATAGGGTACTATAGAGCTTATAATAGAAAGGCGAACCAGGACTGGGCTGGGAAGGTGTTTTTTGGTTGTTGTTTTTTTTTGAGTTGGAGTCTCACTCTGTCGCCCAGACTGGAGTGCAGTGGCTGCTCCCGGCCACCGCAGCCTCGACCTGCTGGGCTCCGGCGATCCTTCCGCCTCAGCCTTCCAAGTAGCCAGAACTACAGACGCGTGCTATCATGCCCGGCTCATTTTTTTTTTTTTTTATTTATTGTAGAGATGAG